ATTAGCTGACATCATGATAATGTTGACTTGGTTGCTTGTGCAAACCGCTGTCTCCTTCTCAGATGTCTCTCACCATCACTGGACATGTAAAGGGGTACAGTAATAGCAGAAGAAAATGGACCAGGTCCTTCGATCTACTGCCAATCTACATTACCTTCTGGCATTAGTAATGGGGTAAATGTGCTTTCAGCATCTTAATAACCAGACAAATATGTACAGTATAGTGAAATGAAAGACAGATCCTAGGAAAACCCTTTGTTATGTCACTGTGACCTAATTACCGAGACGCACCGATGACCTACAGGCTCATCAAGGTGACTTACATGCCTTGTGGCTTCAGTATCTCATACTGCTGAAGCCACCTTGTCTGATTACCTCTTAGGACTTTTTGGTTTCAGATCAATGTCTTCCACACAGGTGCAACTCCTTCTCCGTTGCACACCATCTGCTGAAATTTGCTGTGATGTATATACGGTGTATGTGAAGCTCTTTTGGATGCCCACAGCCTCATAAATATAGAGGGACACTGAACCGCTGTTAACACAAAGAGGGTTTTACTGGATTTCAGTCAACGTGTATTTCTGTCTTTTGTGACTTGCAATAAGATTTGCCCTCTTTTTAAATTACCAATTATGTAAGAGTTTCTGTGTGTCTGTGTATGAGAGGGAGAAAGAGAGAGAGATTAAAGATGACCTTACATTGCTAGCTAAATCCATAGCTAACCTATGTATATAATGTATATATATGATGCATTGGAAGGCTGCGCTGGTCCTAATTTTAGGTCTGAGGGCTATGATTAGGAGCTCTGTGCCTGCTGTAGCCTTTCATGGTCAGCAGAGGAGCTGAAGGTTGCCATTGTCTTTCAGAAGATACCCATAATGCAGCCGTCAGCAAAGACCTTGCATGTCTAGCATCACGGTTCCTGAATTGTGGCTCCAGTATCAAAACTGGTACTGAAAGCAAACGTCCGGGTGTCTAACCTACCATTACTGTCCTGTTATAACAAAATGCACATTTCTAAATAAAAACATCATATGTAGTTTGGTTCTCTGCTGCCAAACATGCTGAACAGAGCTTGTAAACCATGTTTGCATTAACTGGATTTACCGTTTATTTCAATGTGAAAATCAGTGGAAGAGGCACAACAAAAACACAGGAATAAATACGGGGATTTATTTTTCAAAAGTCGGATATATGTCATCAGTATAAACCAAACGACACGTACTCGTCATCGGTGGGTGATTAATTACCTGTGTTGTGGTTGTGTGCGAACAAGAAATAATGACGCATAAAATGTGTTCATATTCAGCAACATCAAACAAAAAAACACATCCGGTAGCAAGCATGGTTTTCAAAGACTGTTCACCCGACAATAATGCAGGGTTAAAACGCAAGACTTAGTTGTTCAGTCGCAAAGTTAAACTTCACATACGAGCAGCGGACCCAAAATTTACGACTGAAATATGTCGATATTTGCGAGGGACACTCTTCCGCGCCACCTAGCGGACGGCACTATATTGCATGTCTCATAACACTAGAGATCCCGTGAATTTTTATAACACGTTTGAGGCGATATACTTTAAGATATAGACGAGATCTTTGTATAAAAATATGGGTTATTATTTAATAGGAATGAGAAAGTTTCTACCAAAAACAAACAATTTTTAACTAGAAAGTGTTTTACATCTCCTGAGGGAGGGGCAACAAACCAAAACAGTTGCGAGACTGAGTGTTCCTGGACAATTATAAAATTTTTATTGCCCTGAGGCAGAACATATCACTGTTTACAATCATTAAAAGGCTAGCTCACATTATTATTTTTTTCACCGGGCTTGTCTTGGATCGAAGCGTACGGCACTAAATGTTCAGCAAAATAAAGGCTGCACGCTCGATATGCAGTGACCCCCCCCCCTTACCTCCCTCCCATTCAATCCCACTTTGCACGGCGAAACCCAGGAGCCGAACCAACCACATTTCGTGCGCACCAGCGAGAGAGAGAGGTACACACATAAAGATTACAAGCCAAGATAGACGCTCTACCACCGCCATCGGCACAGCGCGGACCCCAGCGATCGGCACTGCCTAAATGCTGCACAAGCTGAAGCTGTGGACTTTTTATCCCCTTGCAACTTTTCCTTTGCGGATTTCCACTGTTTTTGCCCTTTGCTACGCGCGTCCTCTGGCGATGGTGGCGGGATCTCCGGGGTTGTGGGAGCAGCCCCACGGCTTGCGGCTCGGGTTGAAGTTTCAAGGCTGGATGTAGCTGATTGGAGTAACAGAGTTTTATCCGAGAACGGAGAGGGGGAGGAGGGGATAATCCGAAGCGCCTCTGCCTATGTGTGACTCTCCAGCGGCCATGTTAACCAAGAAGCCCTGCGCTGCCGTCTATCCGACCGGTAAGGGAAAAAGCCAAGGTCCAGGCAGGCAAAAGACGTTTTTAAAAAGCATTTCCCTAACTATGATGGCCTGATGTTTTCCAGCCTGTTTGGACACAGTTCACTACACATGAGGGTCGGATTTTTTTCTTGACCTAAGCGTTTCTTAATGCTTTGTCTGCAATTCGGGTATGCATGCTGGTTTTATATTTTGGTGCCATATCAATGGCGATTTCCTTATTGCATAGCTTTATGTGGGAATGGGGAATGGGGAAGGAGGCGGCATGGTAATGGTCTTCACGAGAAGCTGAGTGGTCTTTTTTACGCCCATTTTTTGTTAACAGCCCTTTCAAATGTGTTTATATTTTATATTCTTCCACTTTTCTACATTTAATACTCACCTTGAGCGATTTGTCAACTTTGTTATTTTGACAGGGGTGGGCTATTATTGTCCGACATTATCGGGGAGTGAAATTAACGGACAGACATTGCTGTATGAAATAATGCATTTACTTGTAATAAAGCCCGAGATGCCTTCGATCGATTACAAGATGATCTCAAGATGTTGAATAAAATAATATACAGTGAATAAAATGTATGCAGTGAATTCTGTTTTCGATGATGGGGCAACGTTATGCATTTTTTTTGTACATTTTCGCAGGCAAAGGGGGTGAGATTGTCTGCCAGCTGCAGTCTTCCCCCGGAGTCGGCGCTGGGGGTCTCCGGGCCGGAGCTGGGACCGACCCACCATTAGCCGTCACGTTGCCCCCCATCAGGAACACGGCCCCCCTCACGGTACGGAGCACGCCTGCCGCTCTCACTCTGCCTTTTGCCTGCAACGATCAAATATTCCACCTTTAGAATCCTACACTTTAAAACAGGCGAATTATTTCAAGTTTTTCCGCCTCGATGTGCTGCCAGCGCCGATACTGTAACCAGCTCCTCCAGGAAACAAAGGTTTCCAGTGATACAGCAGCACGTACGCCGCTTCATCCAGACGGATTTCAGCTTGTTATACCAAAAAATCATAACCGTAAAGCACACCATAAAACCCGATCGGTATGTGTAACATACATCAAAGCCGTCGGAACCAGTTTATGGTTGGAGTAGTGACAAATATCAGTGATCATTATTTTATAGCTTACTGTGTGTGTATAACATAACCGAGCTTGTCACTGTAAATCGAGCAGGACTCCACACAATAGAAATGGAAACATGTAGCTTTAGACGAAGGACCGCAATAAACACGATGGTGTGTATCTGCATTAATGCCACATTAATATGTGCTTCATCATATAAAACGACGGTATCAATAGGACAGGAAATTACCACACCTCTTTCCTGTGTGAGGTAAATATAGTATTTGTCAGTGAATAAATTATTTTATGGGTGTGCATACACACCTGAAAATAGCCGTTCAGCTGTGAGCAAAAGCCTCTTGCTGTCCCGCCTCCTTTTATTATTATTTTTTAAGCTTGAACGCCCAGCTACAGGGTGTGACAGTGAAGGACTTACCTGTCGACATCTTTACTGGTGTTCATTTCAACAGTCATGGATATTCCAGTCGGAAGCCTCATTCAGGTTTTCAACCAAGTTTATTTGGGTTCAAACAAGACTGGCTATACTGGTTTGTTAATTTGTTGGTTTGATAACTGTACCACTATATCTACTGGCTACCTAAAGGTGAGTAACGTGGGCTAGATCCCATCAGGCTGAGAAATGATCCCTTATGTAATGTAACTAAATAATAGTTAAGTTGAGTTTGTCAGAATTAGCAGATGTGCTTCTTAAAATGTTCCTTTACCGTTCTTTTGATCTGCTTGGGGTGTAATTTTCTGGGGCTTTTCTGGCTTTGCCACTTCCTCTCCTGCCATGTGGTCTGCACTGCTTGGCAAATTGACACTTTTGTGAAATGTGGGGGAAAAAAATTGTGCATTTTCATTTTTCTTCACTTCTGATGGTAACTGGGACAAGTAAATGAAGGTTCTGCTGGGTTGGGTCAGAGGAACATGCGTGTTGCAGCCCAGTATATTTTTGGAGACAGTTTTACTGATAATTGCTAGTTGCATCACAAAACTGGGAAATGAAAGCAGGTTGGTGTAATTTAACTCTGGAGCTTTTATCCCCAGTGCATGCAGGTTGGCTGATATGCACTTCTCTCCAGCGTTTTTGGTCACGTCGTAATTTGCTGCACGTTGTAATCTCCCCCCTCCTGTGCATTTTAGCATTGCACCCAAACTTGCAACGGGTGCGCGGGCAGGGTGTGAAGATCAGTCTTGAGTGTGCACACCGCTGAGTGCAGCTGTCGTTCTATGTACCTCTGTTGTCATTGCCGGGGGATCGGTGAGGTTTGTGTGTTAGATACACCAGGGACGGTCTGTGTAGAAGCTTATTTGTTCACCATTCTGGCCTGTTCCCAGTAGCCAAGCCTAGAATCCTTTACCATGAGAGCGGATTTGAATTTGCAGAACCTGCCTTTTGTTACCTTGTCCTAGCAAAATCTTGGCAGTTTTCCTTGATCTGTCGCCATTAATTAACCTCCAGATGGAGCTTGTTGGAAAACTTGGAAACAATGAACGGCGAATTCTGTGGGTGATTTATGACAATGGAAGTCGGGTCGAGGGCTTGTGGTGTGTGTGTGCTATCAAAGAGGCGTCCAGCTGGGTGTCTGTCAGGGTGCCCTTCAAAAACCCCAGCTGTCTGCGTCATGTTTGATCTAATTAATGGCAAATCCAGCGACAAAAAGGTGCTTTTTCGGCATTAGTAGATTTTTACCTTGCAGGCCATGTTTGCATATGTGTGTCTTGTATATTTAGGCGTACTCTGTCGGATCTCTGCAGAATCCGGATCTCCATGTCTACTTCGATCTTGTGGCGTGTTTTGTGACTGAATGGTGTTTCACCTTCATGCTTTAGATGCAGTCTCGTTGGCTGTGTGGTGTCGGAGAGCATTTTGTGTTCGTGGTCCAGGCGGGACTGAATCTTGTCCCCATTGGTAACCTTGAGCTGGGATTCCGTTTCATTTTCAGAGTGCATCATTAAAACCAAGAGACAAACCTTATAGCAGAGCTGTGGGGCAAAGTGACAGGATACCTCTTGGATCCACAGTGAGGTCTGGTTAGGCTTCTCTGGTGTTTTTTTTTTTTTTTTTTTGCTTTGTTTTCACCATGTGTGCTGACATTCATGCAGGTCTGCAGATGTTTTTGTGTGCTTTTCTTGCGACTTTGTTAGTCAGGCTTCATCATTCATCTTCACACTGCTTTTCCTGGTCAAGGTCGTGGTGGCAGCATGTGGAATGTCGCAGTAGATGTTATTTTCCATGGTTGCAGATTTTAGCTCATTTCGCAGTGTTTCCTGTGGTCTGCCATAGGACCTCCCTTACAAGATGCCCAAAGCACATCACTTGACTTCTTGTGATCCAAAGGTCCCTCTAGGTCTCTCAAGTCTTTACCCTGTCAAGGAGAGTGAATCTGGCAAGCCTATGGAGAAACCTCATTTTGGCCACTTGTATTGGACAACTTGTTCTTTCAGTCACTACCTATGACCTCATTACTCACCATCATAGGTGAGGATAGCTATGTGGACTGACTGGTAACCATGAGCTTCCCATGACAACTTAATACCTGCTTTATCGCCACAAACTTCCTCAATTCCCACAGAACTGCCACTACTGAACCGATCTGCCTGTCAATCTCTCGTTCCCTCTTAACATCACTAGTAAACAATATCGCGTGGTACTTCATCTCCTTCACTAAGGCCACACCCCCTCACCTAAAAGGAGTAATTCGCTCTTTTCCCAAGAGAATTCCATGATCTTGCGCTTAGAGGTTGCTTCACATACTGCATGCGTGCTGGAGTTCCCCGTTGATGAGGAAGACGACATCACTTCTTTTCCTCCCCCATTCCGGATGCCCTTACAGTCACTGCTACGCCTTGGTGCCCCATCCTTGAGCATCACGAACAGGAGAGGCAACTAGACACACCCTTGTCAGAGGCCAACGGCCGCTCTAAACAACTTTGATTTTTGTGCCAAGTTGCAGACACTTATTTCATCCATACAAGGACCAAAAAGCATGCAATATGTGCCTGATATCCCATGTTCCTGTAACATGCTGAAACATGCAATCATACGCCTTCTGGTAGTCCACAAAGCATGTGTAGTCTCTCTTAGCATATTCCCATACCCTCACACAGCTGTGCGAGGGAGAAGAGTTGGCCCACTGTTCCAAGGCTGGGCTGAAATCTGTATTGTTCCTCCTGAAACCTAGGTTCAGCTGTGGGGCAGACTTCTCCCCAGTACCCTGGCGCAGACCTTTCTAGGGAGGCTGAGAAGGGTGATGTCCCAATAGTTGGAACACACCCTCATTATTTAGTTATTAGGTCATTTTTGCATTTATAGCAATGAATGGAAGTATGTCTGATGGTCATTAAAGCCTTAATAGGAATTAATGGAGTGATTTAAGGGTGCAGACCTAACCTGGAGATTGCCAATTCCAGCCCTGGAGGGTGCCCAGCTGTTGGGTCCCTGGCAGAGTACTTAACTTGAATAGCTCGCTTAAAACAACCTGCAGTATACAAGGACGGTTCTTTTTTTAATGGAACTGTCTGCTAGCTAGTTTGAAAAGCTAAATGAGTCAGTCGGGGTTACAATGGGACATCCAGAGTAGCCTCACTTTTGCATTTGTTTTTGAAGCTCTCAAAAGAACGGACAGACGCCTGGGAGCTGCACCCTCCCTTCGTTATGTGCAGTGAAACTTTGTGTAAGTAGGTGGCGATTGGAAGCGTGGAATAGCTTTCTTTGTGGACGGACTCTCGGACAGTTCGAGCAACGGAGCACTGGCTGGGAGCACTTGACGCTCTTTCCTCAACATTACGCTCCGCTCTGCCAGAATCAGGTGATTAACACTGCGGCAAGAGATTTATCTGTGGGATTAGCGGCACCAAAATGGTAAGATCGACTTGCCGGGTGGAACGCATGGGGCGGCAGTGACAAAGAGAGAGAAACCGGCCGGTCGCATTCCTGAAGAGCCACAGGTTCTGCTGGCTTTTCCTCAATGTCATTCCTAATGACATTAGCTGCAAGGAGAGGGTGTTCTCCGAAACTCGCATGACCAGGTTTGGCTAGCCCTGGTGTACAGCAGTATCTGTTCTAGTGTTCTGTGGTATTTTAAGTTCTCAGTGTGCGTATACAAAAGCACAGGGTAGGTGCTTAATATTATCTGCTAAATATTCATCCTTTTGCATTTTTGGATGCATCCAGTGTCCCTTTAGTAGAAATTATGGAAATTATCCTCAATGACTCTGAGATTATAGGTCAGTATTGGTCTGCTGAGCTCTGAAAAGCTTAGTGTTTTGGTTTTGTGTTGTAGCTGTAATGGGAATTATGCCTGGCAAACTGTTGGAAAAGGGTGCCTCCAACAAGGCAGGGAACCAGACTACACTGTAACAAGCAAAGATGCGCAGAGAAGAAATGAGGAATGGGGTTCAGCCTCGGAATTCAGATTAGCAAACAAGCTTAACCTAATCAAGTAGCTAATGATGTTATGGAGTGCTTTGTGTATTAAATTCTGTATCAGGCTTGCAGTTTCTTCCCGTTATGCTAATTTGAACAACCCAACAGGGGGACTAAACAGAGCCTTGGACAGAAGCCGCAGGATGTCGTGTGTGAGAGACGTTATCAAGTTATCAAGGAAACCGGCTTCTGAGAGGGAGTTGGAGATTCGCGGAAACAGGAAATGCACACTTCTTGATCTTTGTGTACATAAAAAAAAAAAAAAAAAATCCTCATTTAGCAAAATCAGAAGGATTGGACCTTAGCCATCATAGCAACGTCCTGTGTTATTAATTTCTCTCTCACTAAAGCACAAAAGTAGCTTGCTTGTGCTAATTTAATGGCAGGCCGTCTAGGGAAGCAATGTTGCTTAAAATGTGAGCGTCATCTACCCCTCAATCCGACTTTCATTGACATAAATCAGCCATAGAATAGGGCCTGAATTATGTGTACACAGCTCAGTGTTTCACAAACACCAGATACGAAAGTAAGAAAAATGTACATGACATTCCAAGTAATCTAGAGGCTCAGCCAAACACTCTACTTAAAGCCTGTTGAAAATAAGGGTTATTGCATTCTGATATTAGGCCAGAAGGATCATGTAACATTTTAAAGCTGGCCTGCAAATTATGTTTTAAATAAATTTATGCTATGTTTATGCAATATTGCTGGCTGACTTTGTTTTTGGGACACAAGGTTGGGGGGAAGGGGAACGGATGAGTTTATGAAAAAGACGACTACTGAAAGAGGGGAGTTTTAGTTAGTGTGTTTCTGAGGCTGACATTTTTCCATTTGGAATTTCACACAGGTAACGGTACCATGAAGAAAGAGAGTTTTTTTTTAAATGTGTTTTATATTCTGTGCTAATGGATAGTTCACTTTCACATATGCTGTACTAAATATTTAAACAGCACATGAACGGAGGGGAACAAAGGATGGTTTTGTAGGCTAGTTGCTGATAATTAGCTGCACTAAAACGAAAATCTTGACTTCGATTAATTCGTAAAAGCTGATGTCGTGATGGTGAGGTTGCTATCCAGACTACATCCTGGATTAATTTTCAGTATGTGAAAATATGATAGCTGTTCTTGTTCATTAAAAGCAAGTGTCGGTGTTATATGTCATATAAATATGTTTGATGTCATATAAACTTACTGCTATTTGTCATTTGTGTTTGTGTCGTGTTGTTTGGGATTAGCTGCATTTTTCTGTGGATGTATTTGTATATCCGACAGCCCAGTTCCTGTAAGACTGCTCAAGTTGGTAAGGCAGGATGTTTGGTTCTTGTTTCAGAGTTTGAATCCCATCCCACAATGCTGGGGAAAGTCTAGTAGAACCATACGTTCTGCATCCTGTTTATGTTGGTTTACGTCCTGTCACTTGCCTATAGGTAGGTGATACCACATGAGTCATGATTACTGGTCATGATGGGTCTTGCATCACAACAACGTAGTGCATGTAAACTGTGGAACAGGTGTGCCTGAGATCTGCTTGCGAGCTCCACACGGTCCTTGCTGCTGAAAGGGCTTGTAATTACAGATGACCTGAGAAGGTTTTAGCCTCTCATAAGGTTGTAGCCTGAGGAACTCGGGGGTGGGGTAAATGTCACCTAATGCCTTTTTAATGAAGCTTGTATACAAAATTAAAAATATGATCTTCATACTGTATGTTTTATTGCATTTTCAACCTCTAATTGCTGTAATTGTTTTTTCTTTCAGATTGGGGGAAATAAGCACACAATGAATGACCACTTGCACATTGGGAACCACCAGCAGATACATGTTCAGCAACTGTTTGAGGAAAACAGCAACAAAAGGACACTGTTGACCTCACAGCCCAATGGCTTGACGACAGTGGACCGGACGGGTCTCCCAATGCCCGACAGGCAGCTGGAGGGCACCCAGTGTCGTCAGAGCAGTTCCATCTCCCTGAAGTCCTCTGATGGCAAGTCTAAACCAGTCTCTCTAACACCTGAGCAGGCTATGAAGCAGTACATGTCCAAACTCACGGCCTTTGAGCATCAAGAAATATTCAACTACCCAGAGATTTACTTCACTGGTCCAAATGCCAAGAAGCGGCCCGGCGTGGTTGGGGGCTCCAATAATGGTGGCTATGATGACGACCAGGGCTCCTACATCCACGTGCCCCATGACCACATCGCTTACCGCTACGAGGTGCTCAAGGTCATCGGCAAGGGCAGCTTTGGGCAGGTGGTGAAGGCCTATGACCACAAGTCGCACCAGCACGTGGCTCTCAAGATGGTGCGCAACGAGAAGCGCTTCCATCGGCAGGCGGCCGAGGAGATACGGATCCTAGAACATCTACGCAAGCAGGACAAGGATTCCACCATGAACGTCATCCACATGTTGGAGCACTTCACATTCCGCAACCACATCTGCATGACTTTTGAACTGCTCAGTATGAACCTCTACGAGCTCATCAAGAAGAACAAGTTTCAGGGCTTCAGCCTGCCGCTGGTGCGCAAGTTTGCACACTCCATTCTCCAGTGTCTGGACTCTTTGCACAAGAACCGGATCATCCACTGTGACCTCAAACCGGAAAACATCTTGCTCAAGCAGCAAGGTCGCAGTGGGATAAAAGTCATTGACTTTGGCTCCAGCTGCTATGAGCACCAGCGGGTCTACACTTACATCCAGTCCCGTTTCTACAGAGCACCGGAGGTCATCCTAGGGTCTCGCTATGGAATGCCCATTGATATGTGGAGCTTGGGTTGCATTTTGGCGGAGCTTCTGACAGGGTACCCTCTTTTGCCAGGGGAAGACGAAGGGGACCAGCTAGCCTGCATCATCGAACTTCTCGGAATGCCTTCACAAAAGCTGCTGGATGCATCCAAAAGAGCCAAAAATTTTGTTAGCTCCAAGGGCTACCCTCGGTACTGCACAGTCACTACCCTGCCGGACGGCTCTGTGGTGCTGAACGGAGGACGCTCACGTCGGGGCAAAGTTCGGGGTCCCCCTGGGAGCAAGGATTGGGTGACGGCCCTCAAGGGCTGCGATGACCCTCTCTTCTTGGACTTCCTCAAGCAGTGTCTGGAGTGGGACCCCTCTCTGCGCATGACCCCCAGCCAGGCCCTGCGTCACCCCTGGCTCCGGAGACGCTTGCCAAAACCCCCCACAGTGGACAGAACCCCCATGAAACGAATCACAGAGGGCTCAGGTGCTATTACGTCAATTTCCAAATTACCTCCGACTTCTGGCTCAGTCAGCAAGCTGAGGACTAGTCTGGCACAAATGACTGATGCCAATGGGAATATACAACAAAGAACAATGCTGCCAAAACTAGTCAACTGAACGTCAGACACGTTCTGTCCACTAATTTATTTTTTAAAAGGAGACGTTTTTATTTCCAGAGGCTGTAAGGAAAGCGAAACCATCCTACTCCTGGACATCACTCTATTATAAGTGCGATCACCGCGTTTTAGGGTTAGCGCTGTGTTTTAGTAATTATTATATTGCTGTTTTTATTGCAAATCTTTATAAATCTTGAAATGGTGAAAAGGAAACAAGGCTTTTGGGTTCTTATTAGAGGGCTTGCCAGGACAGGGTTGCCAACACTTGTGCAGTCAAGCCAAATAAATTATGAAGCCCAACTGTTGTGTAGTGCAGTCGTTAAGAGCGATGACGTGGCTGGCCACGAGGTAGTAAGACTGCAAATCGAGTCCTAGGGGTCTGTGGGGCTTTTCTTGGTTCTCTCCTCTCGTTATCGTAGGGCTCATCTTATAAAGGGGAATAAAAGTACCTCATTTCTATTCAGGTAGCAGAAGGACAACCTTTTGCAAGGGGAGGGACGTTTTGAGCGATAAGACTAGAATACGGAATTACTGGAAGGAAAAAATATCGAAGGAGGTAACGACAAAAAATGTTTCGTTTGAAAAGTTTACATGACTTGGTACGTGCCTAAATTCTCTTGACATTCCTTACAAACAGGAACTGCTAAAAGTGGCATGGTGCGTTTGTAGAAACGCGGGGAAGAGCAGCGCTAATGCTAGGCACTGTTGCCGTAGCCTTTTCTCACGTCTCATTTGTAGATTGACTACAAAAAAACAAAAAAAATTTTTACAGAGCAGGGAAAACTACTCTGGTGCTTTACCTTTGTAATTAAGGTATTTTTTTGTTCTTTTTTTAAAAAAAAAAAAAAATTCAAGTCTGAAACATGGTGGTTACGAATTCTGCTTTACCTTAGCGGTTTGCACGCTAATGCGCTAACTCTCCTGGTGGGTGGCCCTGAGCCAGACTCTGCTGACGCGAGAGTGAACAGAAGGGGCCCGCAGGTGCAAACCCAAGGCCTGTGATTCCAGGGCTTCCCACGCAGGCGGCCCTGCCCCGGAGTGTCCATCCTGAGGGCGCCTGTGCTCTGCCCTCAGATAACGCGGGCAGTTTAGAGTGCTTCGTTTCTGTTCCCGCTCTCTGTTCAGGTTGTCCACTGTAGCAATGTTTACCGTCCCCTGCTGACTTGCTGTAGAATAGGGTTTGCGCTTTGGAAAATTAAGTAGGGCAGTCTTGAGTGGGCTCATAAATGTTTGGCAGGCTTTAAAACCCAAAATAGCTTGTTCCCTTTTCCCTTTTTGAGGCCAAAAGGTGGTGTAGTATTTTGATGTTTTGGATCCCCTTTGCTCAATTAATTTATTTTTTTTTGTCCTTTTGCTTGACATCTTTTTAATCCAATATCCTGTTTAAATGATTTCAGCTATGCACTGTTCATTAGTGAACACCTAGCCAGATGCGTATCTGGCATTTTACGAGCTTTTGTCTCGATAGGAAGTGAGAGCTACCATTTCGGTTGCATTTTTGACACGTTTTTAAATACTATAACTTTGTTGACTTGTTTTTAGAGCTTCATATTTATTTCGTACATGATTTTCACTGAGGACTTTTAGGAGGAGAAAAAATACAAGAAAAGCCATACTGGAAACGGTAGGGCGTTAATGTGCTGCATCAGCTTTGTTACCACGGTAACTGCAGCGTGCACTAACAGTGTTCTCTTGGAATGATGTCACCTAATACCACACCCAGACTCCTCTGTTAAGTAGAAGGAAAGGAATCCCTTGTTGAGGAGGCTCTATGAGTCAGAGGGCAGACCAAGGGTTGTCAGGGACTCCTGACAGGCAGCCGTGGCAACCGCCCGTGCCTTGCGTCTCTAGTTGCTGATTAACTATCAACCCTCCTTTGTAGCAGAGCTCTGACTAGCATCTCATTGGCTGTTCCCCCAAACTGTATCCGACCGACAACCAATGAGCAAAGAGAGTGCATCTTCACAATAACTTCATTTTGTACTGGCAGTAGTGTGTAAACTGATGCCCTACGGTGTGTAACAATGTGCCTTTGGTTATCAATGCTGTTTTCTTTACAGTAGTTCCCTTTTTTAGTGGGGGAGGGGTATGATTTATAGTAGTTATTTAGTGACACTGTTTCTTATACAGATTTGAGTAACATCTACAGAGTCTCTCATGATCCGTTACATTCTGAGAAGCAAAGTTGTGTAACGCTTCATATAGAGAATGTTTTCATACCCTGTGTGGAAAAGAAGTCATTTTATTAAAGTCCCTGTCTCAGCACAGAAAGTGATTTTTAAAAAAGAGGATCATATTTGAGCAGACCTCTCTCACAGGGTGGACGCTAACTTCACTGTAATATCCTTTGTCTTAACATGAAGCAACTCAGAATTAAACATTAAATTTTAAACTTGACACTAGTTAAAAATAATCTATACAAACATTTTTACCTCAGACTGTTTATACGTTTATAAGCACCCAGGGCATGTGGGCATGTACCAAAGTGCATTCCCATCTCGCTATCTGTGGCTACAGCATTGGTAGTGCACACGCTGGATCACGTTACTTCTGAGAAAAGGCACTTCAAGCCATTCTGTCACTCAAGGGCCATGCTTAGATAATGTCTGCTCCCGGTCAAGAGAAGCATTTCGCTCTGATGCTACAAGCCCACGTAGTGTGAATCCATCAGCGCTACCTGCTTCGATGCACCTGGGGGTTGGCATGACCTGTCGCAAGGCACATTGGGCAGCGGGCATGAAATCTGACGTCCGACGCGGCTGTAGCACAGACATGGCGGTATACCAGCTGTGCCATTTCGAAGGTGTGCACCTTCTGCTGTTTGTGTCAAAATCCTAGGGCTGAATCTGAGTCAGCCGCTGTCCGTCAACATCTCGGGCAGCGGCTGGCATCTCTGTGTGTGTGTTTTTTTTTTTTTTTTGTTATAAGACTGAGAAACCAATCGGAAGACTTGTGAGTATTTTGCTGGAGTTATGTGTACTGTACATATGAGGTTACTCTGAATGCACCGTGGACATGTATATATTGTGGGTTTTTTTTTTTTTTTTGGTTTTTATTTTTATTTTTGCTCGTTAAATGCTGCTGAAAACACTACATAATTGCAGTAGTGGGTTTTAATCCTGGCGGCCAGTTTTATGATACTGTATGTATTGTACAGCTGATGAAGTAAACCTTTTTTCTAGTGGTCATTTGTTAAATTTTATTGTTGTGGCCAGAAAATATTAATAAAAATACAATTAATGTGCATATTTACAGATGGCTGGAGCGTCGTTCCTTGTGATGATGTGGAACATGGTATTTCATTACAATTGAATATGTTCTTTTTTAGAACCAATTTGTAGCATGTAGTATTTACCATGTAGTGTTATGTCCCATTGATCATAGTCAATGGGGAACAAAATCATAAGGGGTGGGGGTATTCATCCCCAGTCGAGGGAACTTTCCAGCTCTTCCCAACAGACATGTGGGGAGGGGGTGAAATAATAGGTGTCCATTTAGCAATAGGAGGATCTCTGTAAGCTCTGGGTCCGCACTACACAAACCACGAAGGTGAAAAATAACGGACCTTTTTTGGTGGATGTTTAATAAATAATGAGAGATTAAAGAAATTAAATTGCCTGCTGGATCATGGACAACATCCAGGTTACCGTGGGGGGGGGCAAAGTATCGAAGCTGAAGAGCTGTTGGCTAAACACCTGAGCCAGAGGCTCTTGGTGCATTAAATATGTCACAATCTCACCAATTTGGAGATGCAGGCTTCAGCACTTCAAGGGCTCCGGCTGCTGCCCTCATTCATGCCAATAGTGAGCGGCATGTCCCCGATGTCATTTCCTGTGGACAGGGGGCAGACATCGGGAGGGGTCGGACATGACGGTGGCAGGTAGGAGGCTCACGCAGGGGTGCCCGCCTTCCTGTGCCAGCAGCATCACGAACGCAAGGTTGGCTTTTTGTTTGTCTCTGTATGTCACATGGTCAGACACTGGACATTTCACCCCAGAAATACTCTGCCCTCCTGGTCCTGTTAGCTTGGCTACTAGAATGACTTAGATTTACCAGAAAGCCTCCATGCATCAGGTGGGAAGCTGCGTGACGTGACCTGGCACGCTGTGGGCAGTTCCTGATAGATATGGATACTGAAAACTCCCTGAACACTGCCACTGCACCTGTACATACATCTGCAGCCCGATACCTGAGCTACTGACCCAATCTTTTCATTCCCAGGAGGAATTTTATAAATCTGGAATCCTTGAGTGGCAGAGCTTAGGTATGTACGGACTTGGTTCCGGGCAAAGACTCTAAAGTCTATTTCCACTTTAAAAATGACAGGATTATCATTTAGGGTATCAACAGTAGTGGGAAAAGCCATTTCAGTTTGAAAACTCAGAGTTCCAGTTACATGGAGGAAAGAAAAATATGAGCAAAATCTGAAAAATTATGTATGTGTTTTGAAGGTTTTTTTTGTAATTGTTCTACTGAAACTCAGGGTTGCAGGCTACAGGCTGAAATATTGTTTTGGAGCTGCAGGTGTCTTCGCTGAAATCTGAGATGGGAGGGAGGGGGGGGGCAATAAGCACTTACATCTCAAGTAGCCCGAAAGGTCAGGCGCATCACAGTAGCTGTTCACAAACCTGCCCGTCAGCTTGGTTTTCTAAAAAAAATGCCTCTGGACAAAGAGGACAAGGCAGCCTTTAGCAGCACAAAACCACAGACACGCTGTGGCACCCTGAGGGCCAGCGGCAGGACCAGCGGATGGTCACATCCCTTTGCATCAGGTCAGCTGATGTGTCATGCCAGTGTCTCCCTCTACAGCTGGCCGGTGTTCCCAGCACCCCTAAAAACCAGGGCTATAGTCTGCGAGAAAATACCCACAATGCACTGTGAATTGTACAGACGCATACAGCGATGCTTCATGTTTCCCACAATGTCTGCTACCAACTGCTTGCTCATAATATAAATGATAAATACAGCATTTTAGAAGTAACATGACTCTAGCAACGTCTGCAAAGACAGAAGCTTACATTTCAATTTTAAATATTAAATAATTACAAAATAATAATTTTAAACAGGCATCTATATTCATGTTCACTTTATGCTGCATTTTGCTAATTGCAAATGTCAGCTGATAATGGTTGCTAGGATACTGACACAGAGCATTTTGGAATGTAGTGTCTGAAACCATCAATTTGTTTCACTTTCTGATACAGGAAAGAGTGAGTGAGTGAGTGAGTGAGTGAACCTACCAGCCAACCATTTCTAATACACCCCAGGCCTGTGGCTTGACATTCTCTGATGAAAAGATGGTCAATATCTAAACAGCAATTTTAATACCCTTATTCTTATTTAAGAAAATACATCGCTGAAAAAACTCCATTTACAAATTTACAAATTACTTGCAAATTACAGTCCATTCTTTTTATGGACGATGAGTCTGCAAATAAATAAATATTCAATATTCACTAGTGTTTGCGAAAAGTATCTGAATTAATCTTTAAACATTTTAATAATCACATGCATAAGTGTGGAGTGAAAAATAAGAACGGGAATAAGTCCAACAAGGGCCAGTTATTGGCGTGTGAGGTAAAGGTCATTTGTGTGCTGATTTAATTGATATCCCATTGACAGGTGTGGTTCTTGTTAACTCGTCACTGCACAAACTCTAGTTAGCAATCGAATTAGCAAAGCATGGCCTCATAGCATTCCTGAAAATGATGCACTGCAATAAAGAAATATTAATTTGTGATTATTCATTATACATGCCTAAGAAGTGACCTTGTTTTCACCATACAATAGAGCATAGTCCTGCTTCTAAGAAGGTTGCCAGCTCCTCTTCAGATGAATTGCTGAATGTGGTCATTGTGAAAAACGGCGATCAGCTCAATGAAGTGTAGAGTGTTTTTTTCTACCCTAAGTTCCAGCCCCAAAATCGTTTGCATGGTTTTTCCTCACCTGTGCTTAGCCTTTTGTAGCATATTTACTGAGAATGCCCTGGTACCACCTACATCATAGACTTAGTACAGGGATTGATGCATTTACAGCATCGATTAAAACGGCAGCTCAGAAAAAGCAGGGATGGTTCATATGCCTTGAGGATGTCTGCGGGACTCTGCTTTCACGTCCTGCATTACATAGTGAGTACTCGCCAGTACGTTTGTAAGTTACAAAGTGAGTACTCGTCAGTATATTTGTTAGTCACATAGTGAGTATTCGTCAGTATATTTCTTAGTCACATAGTGAGTACTTGTCAGTATATTTGTAAGTTACATAGTGAGTACTCGTCAATATATTTGTAAGTTACATAGTGAGTACTCGTCAGTATATTTGTAAGTTACATAGTGAGTACTCGTCAGTATATTTGTTAGTCACATAGTTAGTACTCGTCAGTGTATTTGGATGTTAATGTATAGTTTGTGAGGTACCTAAGTACTCTTGCAGTCCTGCCCTGCCCTGGTTCCTCCTGACCCCATCAAAGTGTCCTTGAGCAAGACACTGAACCCCAAATTGCTCCCGGTGTGCAGGTTGGTGCCGTGCATGGCAGCCTCCACCACCGGTGTGTGTGTGTGTGTGTGTGGATGGGTGACTGTGAGGCATAAATTGTAAAGCGCTTTGAGTACTCGTAAGAGTAGAAAAGCGCTATATAAATGCAGTCCATTTGCTTTCTGGCTGTATCTGAGGTACTGCAGCTATTAGGCGACCTTGGATTTCACATGACTGTCACTCTCCTCAAAACATTGTGTTGAATCTTGCCTGCTGCTACATATTGAATGAACCCTATTAAATGTTCAGCTACTTAGAAAATGTGGTTATAATTTAAAAATGGAAACTGCTATTGACTATATTAAGGTTTTCTTTAATAATGAATGTTATCCAGTGTTTGCAGACTTCAGTGTACTTGTGTTCACCTGCTGTGATGAAACAGTAATTTAAATAAATGCTAACTGTGACACTATAGTGGAACAAACCATTACAAATGAATTAGTCATCAAATACGAAATTTCTACCATGGGCAGGTGTCAAACACGGTTTGTTGGTGCCGGGTCTTGCATGTTATGCAGATGTGGTGTCACATTCCGGGAATGAGTCCTTATCTGACGTCAACATCTGCCTTACGAAATCCCCTGTGTATCTTTATGGGGGAAACACCGCAGGCTGGGAAGTGAGGGCGGGCAAAGGGAGGTGATTAAATGGTGCGTCACAACGACCAGTATGGGGGAGGGGCCAAAAGACACTGTTTATTCCACACATAGGTGATTCTAGGATGTTTTTTAAGGTGAAGGGACATAAAAGGGGCCATAATTTAGCCAGAAGGGCCAACCCTATCGTGACCCAATGGTATGTTTTGATTCAGTGAGTGATGGGGGCGGAGACACTCCGGGGGCCAATCAGCTTTCAGTGCTCCTGTGGCCCCGCGCCACTATCAATCCCTGATTGCACAAATAAAGGCATTTTCAATCTTGAGGCAGGCATAAACGCTCACCTGCATAATCTATATGTGTCTTAATTTAGTAATTTAGAGGTAGAAAAGAAGTTTGGAAACCTGGGGTAGGTGGCATTTCTGTCTCATAAACTACAAACCATAACAACACAAAAGGTTTTGAACTGTAACGTTCCCTGCAGAGGTAAACCAGGCAGTGACTCACAGTTTGTGGCAAACTCCCTCACTTTTGGGTTTATGTATTGCTTTGTATTACGATCCTGCAATTTCTTCCCATGGCAAATCAAAAATGCCCAAAGGGAGGATGGCTGGGCCTGGGGAGGGGCAATGCAGGGTGACCATGTGCTGTTTGGTTTGTAAAATCCCCTTGCAAATCCTTTGGTTTTTCACAGCCCAGTGTGTGGAAGTGTTACGTTTACCTCTCAGTTGAGGTTATTAATAGATGTTTCCATTCATCTTTGTCCTGTAATATACCGGAGATGTAAAGACATACAACTAGTCCAATTGCTCTGGAATGTGAAGTCCCAGTCTGTCTGGGAACGGTGGCATCCCCATGTTCAAAACCCAAATGGAATGGCCCGGTTTTGTGAGTTGGTATCATTTTACTCTTTTTCAGGGTGGACAGGGACCGTGGACCACAGTGATAAATAATTAGTCTAAGAAGTCCGGATTAAATTCCCCAAACCTTTCACTATTGTTCTTTATGGTTACTGAGCCCCTCGGTTCTTTCTGAGCTTGCCAATGGCCGTTTGCAAGTCACTGTGCCGTTAGTTTGTTGGCCAAGGATTCAGAAGGTAACTCAACTCAGATTTTATCCCAGGA